ACTGTTTTTGTTCTCTTGCTCGTTCTATATTACTACTGCGTTAATCTAGTTAGAATTGTTAGGTGGCAGTGATGTACATTAAACAGAGAAATACGTTTGATAGATTCTTGGGGTGCAGTCATTATAGGATGTAGACGTAGTAGGATGTAGACGTTTTTTAAGGAGAGGTAACAATTCAAAATTTTATAGGTTCCTAAACTGAGGAGAGGTTATGTTGATTCCTGACTTGAAGTATAAGGAGGGGCTAATTATGGTAAAAAGTCTTTAACAAGTGAAAAAATTACATTGAAACAATATACATCACCCATAGGCAAAGGCTTGGTCTAAACATTGCAAGGCAGTCATTTCCAGTACTCGTTGGACTCTCTTAAGATCTTCTTGAAAAGGGCTTGGAATTTTTGGTGATCTGCAGGGCCTCTTTTAACATATAGACTGGGGGGGACATGCCCCCCCCAGCCTTCTTAGTGGCCCCTTCAGTCGCCAATTTTGTCCTGCCCAGTGCAAGGTCCCTAAGAACTACCTGCAGTAGGTGGTCAACCAGCAATTAAATATCAAAGTGAGAAAATGATGTTAAGCTGTTAACATTTCTGAATATGACCATCATCTGCAGGCCCGTAACTTGCTATGAGTCAACCGAGTCAGTTGACTCGGTAGGAATTCGGGGACTGAAATTTAAATATCGCCAGAAACCTAAATCATGGCTGAAATAATTTGCTCGTGGAAAAAGGCATGAAATGGCATTTTAGGACGAAATTCTAGTTTAGTTCTTCCAAGCGAAGATACTCCAAAGAGACCACCCTATCTTGCTCTTCAGTGACACTGAGAAGACGAATGCGTCGATATCAAGTACCCCAATACATGTAATACATTACTGTAGAATTTGAAGTGTGGTGAATGATATTAATACTATACGATGCAGATTTTCATTACCGCATCATTACATGTTGCCTGTACTGATTGCGGTAATTGGGTCACTGTTTATAAGGTCAATTTCTTGTTGGAACACTCTTCAAAATGCTGGAAATAGCCTATCTGAGCTTCAAGAAATCCAACATTTTCTGGAGGGATGCCCCCACACCCCTCTGGACAGCTCGCACCTTCGGTGCTTCACTCGGTTGTCTCAGAATCGTAGTAACGGGCCTGATCTGCTGCCCTATGACGTATACTTATTAGTTAAACCATGCATATATATGCTGGTTTCTCCTGGTCCCTCCCCTCCGAAATATGTCCTCCTCCCCAGTTATACATCCTTAAAAGATGCCCTGGTGATCTGTTGCTTTGTGGCTGGAATTTGTTACTTTGTGGCTGCATGAAATTAAAACTTCAAAGTTTAAACCGTAAATAATGAGCGCTCCCTAATAAAAACCTGACAAGTGTTTGCAGTATTTTTGTTATTCTTGAGTTTGGAGGATTGAGACTTGCAGTACATGCATATGTTATAGCACATTAGCCTGTGAACATGTTCACTGAATCATCGAAGAGAATAGTGTATCTTGAGACGGAATAGTGTAGTTTCAAATTTGAAATATATAGTTGTTCATTAATGAACTCATCTTTTTACTTTCAAACTGACAAAACAATTTCAATTATAAGATGAATTTTCGAGATTATATATGCTTGGTTTTTTTCTTGTAGTTTAGTGATTTTAGTTAGTGTGGCGCTCAGCGCCGTTCTGCATGATATAGCACATTATTTGCACTATATGATGATGACCCGAATTACGAATCAAAAACTTTGTCAAATGAATAATCACTAGGTCTACACTGTTTTCCAATTTGCTTTAGTAGCTATATCTTGCACCCACGCGTGCTTGCTGAATCGAGCTGAGTATGTATGTAAAGCATGAAAGACCAGCGCCATTGAAGGTCAAGTGTGTGGTCCAGAATCTGATGTATGATACTTGAGTTATTAATATTTCCTGATAATTATGGGCTGTCCATTTATTAAGTACCGTAAGTACGAAGAGGGGGCGGGGTTGCAGAGTACTAACCATGCAGGGGTCGGTTATTCAAAAGTCGGTGAGCTTAATCCTATAGGTTAATGCAAATTTCAAAGTAATCTTCCCAACAGCCAACAAGAAACATGAAGATAATTTTTCAAAATTTATATTTGTATGAAATAAACAGTTGTACCCAAACTAAAACAGCGGGTTAAATTTTAACCCATGCAGGGTTAGCGCTAACCCATGCAGCTTTGAACAACTGGCCCCAATAAAGCTATAGTCTTTTTATAGCTTAAGACAGTCTCGTATTTGTGTTGAGTACACCGTAAACACTACCAGATTTTTTAATACTTTTATTCCTTCGTCGAATAAACTATTTTTAAATTTTTAATTTTAAATTATAAATAGTCTATTGTATTTTAATCAATCATGTTATTCGTTTATCTTATTAGTAACTGCTTAATTGTACATAATATCTAATTCCGATATGTAATCTTACACGTAATTCAGCTCTTTGGTTGCGATGTGTTTTTTAATTAATTCATCTCGCTATACTAACTTCCCGACGAAAAAAAAAGAACATTTATTACGCCAAGGAGGGGGGGATGAAGATGTCCTGAAAAAAGCTCATATTTTTACAGGGCCCCTGTTGAGGTTATTGGAAAATTTTCGACGACGCCCTCCCCCCCCCTTTCGACGCCCCCCCCCCTCCCCCTCCTCGAATCGAAGGAGTACAATCCGGAATTCTCTCCTATCACAGATACAATTTGCAGTTCCTCAAGATGTCTGATATACTCAAGCACGTGTTGGCACGTGCTTCTTCTCAACAAAAATACCGACTTGCTGCTTCTTAATTTCACCTCACTATCGCCAGATGAAATGGCACCGTCTTCAAAAAAACAATTTAGATTGGCTCTAGGGGCGAAATTATCAACAGGTTGTTGTTGTCCGTCATTCAGCGTATCAGAATCTTGAACACGCTCATGTAGTGGCCGGGATTTCTTGGATCAGGGTAATGTGCTGGAACCCAGTGGTGTAGTCCTGGAATGTTGACAAGGGGGGCTCTCCAAAAGTGTCACGAATTGACATTCAAAATTATTCTCATTAAAAACAATTGCCGTTAGTAATATAAAATATTCTGAGCGTCTCAAAAGGGTATGGAATTCAAGGCTTCTGTACTGCTTTTTGAAGATATAAAACTACATTCAGTGGTATGATTGGTTGGCGAAAAGAATTGCCGTGAAAAAATAGGACGCGGTGATTGGTGAATTTCCCTCCTCCAAGCAATTTCGCCCAGTGAGGAAGCAGGGTTCAGAAAAAATTCTGGCTGGGATTGTAACTTTGATTCCTCGTCAAAATTTCCCATACTGCTAACAGCCTAATATTTATTAACTGTAACATATATTTTGAAATATCTTCGAGAAAGCTCTTTAATAGCTGCTGTAGCCTCTATATAAAATCAACAAAACTGAAAACACTCAAGTGAAAATGCTCTGGACAGAGTTTAAATCTGACAAAACAGGTTTGGTACTTCAACAGCCAATTTGCTACGGCGCATGAACAATGCGATTAAGTAAAGATTACAAAAATCATTATAGTGTTAAATGATGACTGTAAATGAAATGCAATTCTAAAGAACACGTACTGATTTCTCGTTTGTTATTAAGATTATGCAACGTGCAAAAAATATAGGGGGGGCTCAGCCCCCCAAATCAACATGAATTTTTAACAAGGGGGGCTCAGCCCCCCTGAGCCCCCCCCCCCTCCCCCCTCCACTACACCACTGCTGGAACCTTAGAGAACCTCGCCCCCACCCAACGTATCTCCTGGGATCAGTTGAAAATTTCTTTGCATGCTTGTCAAAAATGCATGCAAATTAAAAGCGCCAGAATGCTGCAATTTCTTTCATTTTCATCCCGTTTGTACTAAATATCCCATGAAGATAGAACATATCATTCTTACAAATCGTATGCTTTTTTGTGTTTACAACTGCTACCTTTTGGCGGGTAAATTACGTCACAAACCTGGCGCCAATAAGAAGCTATAGAAGAAGCTAAAAATAAGAAGCTATAGAAGAGCAGACTGAGGATATCTTAAAACTGAAATCGGTTTCGAAATACAACCATTAGGGACGTAGCGAAGCATCTGAAGTTGGGGGGGGGGGCCTGGGAGGATTTTACGTGAAATTTGAATTTCAATGTTAAAAATTTACCTGAAGTGTAATTATTATAATAAAGCTTTTTGTGATTGATTGGCACTCTCATACTAAGTTTCGGGAGAAAGAGAGGGTCTGGAGGTCCTCCCCCAGAAAATTTTTCAGTTTTGAAGCTCTGGGACTGAATTTCTAGCGTTTCTAAAGCAAATTCGCAATCAAATTACATGTAAATTGACTGTATTTCACAAAAATAATTGCTTTATTACGCAAATTTTACCCGAAGATGTCAAAATTTTAACTTGAATTTTATATAATTTTTGCCTGAATTTCACAGTAGGGGGAGTATTACACCCCCTCCCACAATTCCCGGTCGCTACGTCCCTGACAACCATTCCTTGCGAAGATATAATGACTTAAATTTCTGAAAATCCGCCATTTTGTTCTATTTTTAGTAACAATATGGCGCATTTTCCGACATTTGTATCGCTATATCTTCCCATAAAATGGTTGTATTTAGAAACAGATTTCAGTTTTAATTTTAATTAAATGTAATTAAAATAATTAAAATATGTAATTAAAAATAATTTAAAATATGCAAATAAAAAATATGTAAATATGTAATTACAACATATGTAAATATGTAAATATATGTTTATATGTTTATATAAACATATAAACATATGTATATACATATAAATATATGTTTATATGTAAATATGTAAATAAAAATATGTAAAATATGTAAATATGTAATTTAAAATAATTTAATTATGTAATTAAATGTAATTTTGTAGTATCCCAGAATCCTTTGGGGGTTCGGACCATTGTGCACTGAGACACAGAACTGGGTGGTTATAACATTGGCGACGAGGATTTTTGTTTTTAAGCGAAACACACGTATAAATGGCCACCTACGGAAAAGTAAGTCCGTTTGATGAAGCAGAAGAAACGTGGACCCAATACACCGAACGACTGGAACAATATTTCCTAGCAAATGAAGTGACAGACGCCAAAAAGCAGCGGGCAATATTTCTCAGCGTGTGTGGCTCGAAAACATACGCATTAATTCGAGATTTACTACAGCCAAAGAAACCGGGTGATACGGAGATAAAAGAAATTTTCAAAGAGCTGGAAAAGCATTTTATTCCAACACCAAGCGTCATTGTAGAGAGATTTAAATTCCATAGCAGAATTCTCCGTGTTGACGAAGGAATTGCTAAGTATGTGGCTGAATTACGTCGAATGACCGAGCATTGCAAATTTGGCACTTCCTTGGATGATATGATACGGGATCGATTAGTATGTGGTATCAACAACGAAAAGATTCAAAGACGACTCTTAGCAGAACCTGAACTAACATACAAGAAAGCAGTTGAACTTTCGTTAGCTATGGAATCGGCATCAAAACACGTCGAAGATTTGGGCGCCAAAGGAGTTTCTATCGAAGACCAAAATAATATACATCGTGTAAACAACCGTGAGGACAACCAGCAATCAAGTCGCTCCGAATGTTATCGTTGTGGGGGGAAGCACGCAGCAAATTCGTGTAAATTTCGCGAGTTAAAATGTTTTAACTGCGACAAAATTGGCCACATTGCAAAGGTTTGTCGTAGCACAAGGCGAGGAACAAAGCAAGCAGAGTTGCCACAGCGACGCGAAACCGGAAGTCGAGGGAAACGTGAACAGGATACGGAAGTAAAAATGGTTAATGCGCAGGGTGCCCAAGAGGAAGAATATTCGCTGTACAATATTCGAGAGAAAAAAAAAGACAAATCGATTTCAATTGATGTAGAACTGGTAGGCCAGCCAATCAGAATGGAATTAGACACTGGAGCTACTAAGACAATCATAAGTGAAGAAACATACAACAAACTATGTAAGAATTTGACACCACTTCGCAAGACAACAGTTGTTCTTAGCACCTACACCGGAGAGAGAATTCCAGTAGCGGGCGAAGTAATGGTTCCAGTACGGTATGGAAACCAACAGCACAACCTACTCGCACTTGTGGTCAAATTAAAGGTCAAGGTCCAAATCTGTTTGGCCGAGATTGGTTGCGTGTAATCAAAATGAACTGGGCCTTAATATTCCAAATAAATGAATGTCATCCTTGCAGTGAATTGAAGGAAGTTCTTGAAACCCACAAAAAGGTTTTTACCGAAGAATTAGGTACTTTGGAAGAAACAACAGCAAAAATCTATGCAAATCAAGATGCACAACCCAAATTTGTGAAGGCTCGGCCAGTTCCTTTTGCCATGAAAATTCCACTGGAACAAGAATTAGAGAGACTACAGCGAGAGGGAATCATATCTCCAGTTGAATTTTCAGATTGGGCTTCGCCAATAGTGACAGTAGCCAAACCAGATGGATCGGTCCGCGTATGTGGTGATTACAAAGCAACAATTAACCAAGCTTCGAAACTAGACAACTACCCAATACCGAAGACGGAAGATCTGCTTACAACCCTCAGTGGAAGCCAAAAATTCACTAAGTTGGATATGTCACAAGCCTACCAACAGTTGAGGCTAGACGAGGAG